TTTATCTACTCTATTTATCTATCTATTTTATCTATCTATTTATCTTATCTATTTATCTATTTATCTATTTATTTTATCTTTATCTATTTATCTATATTATTTATCTATCTATTTATCTATATTATTTATCTATTTATCTATTTATCTAATTATTTATCTATTTTATCTATTTATCTATTTATCTATTTATCTATTTATCTAATCTATTTATCTATTTATCTCTATTTATCATTATTATTATCTATTTATCTATTTATCTACATTATTTATCTATTTATCTATTTATCTAATTAATTTATCTATTTATCTATTTATTCTATATCTATTATTATATCTATATTATTTATCTATTATCTATTTATCTAATTATCTATTTATCTATTTATCTATTTATCTATTATATCTCTATTTATCTATTTAATCTATTTATCTATTTCTATTATCTATTTATCTATTATCTATTTTATCTATTTATCCTATTTATCTATTTTATCTAATCTATTTATATATCTATTATATCTATCTATTTATATATCTATTTATCTACTCTATTATCTAATTACTATCTATTTATCTATCGTATTTTATCTATCTATTCTAATCTATCTATTTATCTATTCTATTTATCTATATCTTCATATTTTATCTATCTACTTTATCTATCTATTTATATCTATCTATTTACTATCTATCTATTTATATATCTAATTTATACTATCTATTTATATATTCCTATTTATATTATCTATTTATTATCTTATTTATATATCTATTATTTATTATATCTATTTATATAATCGCTATTATATATCTATTTATATATCTATTTATATATCTATTTATCTATCTATCTATTTATCTATCTATCTATTTATCTATCTATCTATTTATCTATCTATTTATTTATCTATCTATTTATTTATCTATCTATTTATTTATTTATTTTTAATGTTAAAAGTTAAAAACTGTGTGTTACGTGCTATGGGGAGAAGTTAATTTGAAGTTACGTTTGTGTCCAGAAGCAAAACGAGGGGCCATCTCAGCTTTTCCTCGACAATCAGGAAAACTGTGTACATGCAAAACAATGTGATTGCAGTGTCATGGACTGGACGAGGTGGCTCAGGGCATCAAGTATGTTGCAGTGCCTCTGTGCGGTCCTAGTTTAGAGTCTCGTCGATGGCAGGATTTTCGACACTAGTTTGTCAGCTACGTCGCATTCTGTTGCTGTCGGGAGGAGAATTCTAGCACTCTGCTGCTATGATCGGTACTTTTTCGTGGTTTCTCCGATAATTACCAGGCGAATGCCGGAGCAGTACCCTCACAAACGGGCCATCAACCGCGCGCGATCTCTCCTCATCTTCCTTGCCATATCCTCACACCTACACTCACATGCACTGCACTACCACACGTGCCGGGAGACCTGTCGGGAGCTTGTGTTGGAGCTTGGCCAGGCTTTGGTGGTGCTCTTCTGGTGGGAGATACCTGTTTGGGGAAAACCCCTCTATCCGTCGGTAGGTTGGCGCCGGATCTCGCCATCCAACGAACCAAAACCACTACCAACTCCTTTTGAAGACAAAACATGCGTTACGCTTACGGGACTAATAACCTTAGCAGTTGACACGCCCGGAATCACCAATCAATCGGTCAATAATTATCTTGAACTCTGTTTCTGTTAAAAACATTTATCTTAAAGTTATACGAGAGTATTT